TCAAAAAAATATTTGCCAAACTAATCGAGTTAATAGAACACAAATTGTCTTTTAACTTAGTAACTCTAACTTTAATAACTCTACAACACAATAAATATTTATAAACACAAAACAATAACAGCGAAGATTGCGAAAACATACAAACATACAAAACACGCCCTATTTCCGCGTAATAAGTGAGAACAAATAACATATACAGTTGAGTTAAAACTAATAACTGTTTATTGCACATTACCGTTCTACTGGAGTTTGTTCCTCGTTATTTGTGAGTAAATTCGTCGTTTGTTGGAGACAAACTGTGCGTAGTAGTATATTAGTGTGTTAACGTTTAGTTTGTAAAGAGGTCTAGTCGAAAAGCTTTTAATAACAACTTGCAATTTTACCCCTTTGAGTACCGTCATTATAGACACAATTAAAGAACAATAGGTGTGCGGACACCGGTGTCCTCGCGGTGTCTGACAGTTTAAGAGACACATGTTTTTTTAAGGCGTGAACATAGTAGTAAACTTATATCTAAACATGAGAAACAATTTTATTTTCTCTGTAAAAAATCTGGAATATCAAAACCGAACGATTCAACAGCCTATAAGTGGTCACTGCTGACCAAAGGCATTAATCACCACGCTCGCTCAATGCGGGTTAGCGATTTCAAACTTATAATTAGAAATTATAAGCCCAGATTTCCTCACTATGTTTTCGATGTGATGTTGTCTAGATAACCTTAGAAAGTGCATATAACTCGGAAAAATGCATGAGAAGCGCGCGTCTTAAACCTCCAGGCCACTACGACACTGCGAACTATTAAATATTATAATCAACCTAGAGATCAAAGATGTATATGGCTAGCAAGATGAGCGATTAACGTAAGAAAGGCGCAAAACAAACTACTTCATTTACCAAAAATTAGAATAGATTTTCAATTTAGCCACAATAACCTAAAGGTTGTAAATCAAAAAATTATTATAGACATATACATAACATCACGCCTTTTATCCCCGACGGGGTAGGCAGAGGTGCACATTATGCTACTGTACAATGTAACACCCACTTTTCACTATTTATGTTATGAGTCCTATGTAATAGGGGGTGCGCCTATTGCCATATACCGGGCACAATTCCAGACTCCGTACTACTACTGAGAATTATATAAAAACCCAGTAATACTTTGCCCGACTCGGCCAACGACGCAGAAATTATTATAATAAATGAATTATCGACACGTGTAACTGGTGTCAGTATAAATCTAGGTAATTTCACCTACCGGCGTCACTTCCTACGCCTAGTCGCGTCTTCCGTCATATCAACATTAATTCAATGAGCTAACGCTATTTGCGTACGGTTTCATTTACATATTGTTCCAGTAACTGATTGTTTTAATCCATTTTATATCTTCCTGAATCTAAATCAGTTATACTGAAACTAGCGACCCGCCCAGACTTCGCACGGATGCAATATGCATGTAATATACATACAAACCTTCCTTAAGAATCACTCAATCTATTAAAAAAACCGCTTCAAAACCAGTTGCGTAGTTTTAAAGATCTAAGCATACATAGGGATAGACAGACGGTGAATAGCGACTTTGTTTTATACTGATGAGTGAAGGCTAAGTAGCATACATTTGTCACCAACCCTACTCTTCACGCGGGTATCATTAGAACGATTGCAAGACTACGCATTGACAGAGACCAGACAGTAGCGATGTCTAATAAACATAACCTTTTAAATTGCCATTTTTAACTCGGCTGCCACAGACAAGCGTTGAGATTCATGTTCACGAAAGACATTCACTGCTGTACAAAAGCTCCCCCTTAGTCCACCAACTCCTTCATGATTGAAGAGTCACCACTAGCATCTTGCATTGAGGTAATGGCAAACTCAGTGATCTAGATGAGGTCTTTTTATTAAAGGGGAAAGTCATCGAATGACTTCTCCCGCCTGGGTGAGGTGTAAGGGAGTGTCAGACTCTTACGGACTAAAAACCACTCCGTTCCTACTCCTGCACTTCGAGCCGGAGCCCCGGTAACCCGTTAGGTTCTCCGCGACATCTAGATGAGGTCTAGCAGTGGACTCTCACGAGCTTTGATGTTGATGATCAAGACGTTTGTATTACTTTCACGTTTATTAATCATTCATTCATAACTAGCACTTAGCAGAGACTATGGAACGTCAATTACTACGATTCCTGCATACCTCTTTCGCTTCTTCAAACTCATATTTTACTAAGTACTGTATCAAAAATTTTACATGATTGATTAACAGAAATCTACATACATTTATTATTCAGTAATTAAGAGAAACAAGCTATTCATATTTCGCTGAAAAATCCGATACAACCTGGCTTTGAGTTTAAATTACAAAACTCGTCATTACCATTATTGGTAAACGAGAAATCCAATTATATTTTTATCAATAGCCGACTGGGGAATGTGTGCGTAGCATCGTATTCATATTTACTGATATATATTGACATTTACAATATATTTACTGAAGTGGATATATGGTTATTTGCAGAAAACTATAATATTAAGTCCTAGCTTCTGCTTGCGGGTTTGCCCGCGTTTTCGTGGGATAAAAGGTGGCCTATGTCTTATTACGGACCATAATCTATCACCGTTGATGAATCAAAAGAGGTGTGTAAGAATCGTAGCAATTGGAGTTCCATAATCTCTGCCTACCCCCATGGGAGGCAGGCGTGAAGTTATGTATGTATGTATGTAATCTACCCCTGTTCAAAGTTTCATCCAGATCCCTTCAGCTGTTTTGACGTGAAAGAGTAAAAAACAGACACATACATCCCCACAAACTTTCGCATTTATAATATTAAGTAGGATTGAGAGAATTAAACGGAATAAACAATTGTAGAAAATGTTTTAAATTAATATTAAGCGCATAAACGAAAATGTGAACAATTACTAGAGAATGGGTAGGTCAAAGGCAACTGCCGTCAAAGTCAAATTTATAGCATTTATTTCAATTAATTCACATATAGGCAAGGCGCTACGGAAACATCAAATTTTTGTCACCCAGTCTATTAGAAAAACTGTTTATTACGCCAAGACACACAATCATGTAGACAACAATTCAAGAACACACAAATAGAAGTTCATGAGCATCATGAACTGTCGCAAAAACACGCAGCGCAAAAGACCTGCAGCTGTAGCCAAATGGCATTTAGCGCTTGTCTACATGTAGAATAGAAAACCAAATTATATGGAATTGACGTAAATTTTGATACTTGTCAGTGTTATCCCCATACGTTTAGTTTTCTACTCTCTAGGTAGACAAGCGCTAAAGTGGCGTTTGGCTAAAGGCACAGCTAGGCTTAATGCTGCATTAGTTAGACTATTCCAAAATATGTTTCAAGGTGTGGTAGGATTTTGACATGCTGGCATGGATTTCTTCCCCCCAGAACATGAGATTGATATCATATAAATGTTACCTAATTGTTCCAATAACCATGAGAAGTAATACATTAACTCGTCGAGTACCGTCATTATAGACACAGTTATAGAACAATAGATTGCGGTCACCGGTGACCACTCGGTGTTTGACAGTTTAATGTAGATAATAATGAAGACATTACATTTGTATGTATGTACGACTGTAATGATATGAAGTGAAAACATCGCGTGTCCAAGCAACAAGAACACGCGACTAAGATCACGTGGCCTCTTGTTTACGTTCTCTTAAAGGAAAAATAACAAACAATAAACAAAAATTCCAAGCAAAAGGACAATGGTAAATATCTGTTAAGTACAGAAAGTTCGTAGTCCAATAAAGAATTTTCACAGGTTTCTGAAGGAGCCAAGATGGTGATTAAGATAGGAGTCATAAATGATACTGCTTAGGGGTTATTGAAATTATCAAAGCTCAATAAACATGATACAAACTAATTTACTAGGTCGCCACAATGTTATCCTAACTATTACAACTATAGTCTATATTGAACTCCTTACGATCTACACCAATAATAATTGATAGCAGTCGACCAAAAAGTAGACAGAAACAATCACTTTAGATGTTATTCTTTCTTTGTAACAAATAAATAAAATAAAAATGAAAAAGCCTTATATTTTCAGTTTACAAATTAACTTAAAAATATTGTTTCCTAACTATAATTTAGTGTTAAGTTAACAAAAGACTTAAAAATAATTGAAAAATTTACTTAAATCATTATCATTAAAAAAATTGCTGGCCTAAAACCGAGAGAAATGGAAGGCTTTGGTGGAGGCCTTTACCTGAGGGGGGTTCTAGTACATTAAAAATGATACTGCCTGGATGGGATTTAAGATTCTTTCTTTGTAAACCATTTTAATTCTTCTATCAAGTTAATGACGCTTTGCAAGGTTTTGATGGCATAGATAATAAGTAATTTTTTGCCATCGAAAAACCGCCAGTCGCAATAAACAACGAAATAAATACATTTAAGTTCCAACCGATACAATTTCAATTGAAAACAAATTGAAATAAA